CTGTAGTACATCTTCACTGAAATTTAAATTTAACATGTTAACAATATCTATTTTACCCATTTGCTTTAAAAAATTTTTAAAAAGGTTCAAAAATAACGATTATGGTTGTCACCCTGTAGTACATCTTCACTGAAATTTTAATATAAAACATATTAACAATATCTATTTTTACCCATTTGCTTTAAAAAAATTAAAAAAGTTCAATAATAACGATTATGACAATTGTCACTTCCCTGTAGTATATCTTCACTGAAATTTTAATTTAACATGTTAACAATATCTATTTTTCCCAAATGCTTTAAAAAAATTCAAAAAAGTTCAAAAATAACAATTATGACAATTGTCAATTTCCTGTAGTACATCTTCACTGAAATTTTAATTTAACATGTTAACAATATCTTCTTTTACCCATTTGCTTTAAAAAATTTAAAAAGGTTCAAAAATAACGATTATGACAATTGTCACTTTCCTGTAGTACATCTTCACTGAAATTTTAATTTAACATGTTAACAATATCTATTTTTACCTATTTGCTTTAAAAAAATTCAAAAAAGTTCAAAAATAACGATTATGACAATTGTCACTTTCCTGTAGTACATCTTCACTGAAATTTTAATTTAACATGTTAACAATATCTTCATTTACCCATTTGCTTTAAAAAAATTTAAAAAGGTTCAAAAATAACGATTATGACAATTGTCACTTTCCTGTAGTACATCTTCACTGAAATTTTAATTTAACATGTCAACAATATCTATTTTACCCATTTGCTTTAAAAATTTTTTAAAAAGGTTCAAAAATAACGATTATGACAATTGTAACCCTGTAGTACATCTTCACTGAAATTTTAATTTAAAACATATTAACAATATCTATTTTTACCCATTTGCTTTAAAAAAAATTAAAGAAGTTCAATAATAACGATTATGACAATTGTCACTTCCCTGTAGTATATCTTCACTGAAATTTTAATTTAACATGTTAACAATATCTATTTTTCCCAAATGCTTTAAAAAAATTCAAAAAAGTTCAAAAATAACAATTATGACAATTGTCACTTTCCTGTAGTACATCTTCACTGAAATTTTAATTTAACATGTTAACAATATCTTCTTTTACCCATTTGCTTAAAAAAAATTTAAAAAGGTTCAAAAATAACGATTATGACAATTATCGCTTTCCTGTAGTACATCTTCACTGAAATTTTAATTTAACATGTTAACAATATCTATTTTTACCTATTTGCTTTAAAAAAATTCAAAAAAGTTCAAAAATAACGATTATGACAATTATCACTTTCCTGTAGTACATCTTCACTGAATATTTAATTTAACATGTTAACAATATCTTCATTTACCCATTTGCTTTAAAAAAATTTAAAAAGGTTCAAAAATAACGATTATGACAATTGTCACTTTCCTGTAGTACATCTTCACTGAAATTTAAATTTAACATGTTAACAATATCTATTTTACCCATTTGCTTTAAAAATTTTTTAAAAAGGTTCAAAAATAACGATTATGGCAATTGTCACCCTGTAGTACATCTTCACTGAAATTTTAATATAAAACATATTAACAATATCTATTTTTACCCATTTGCTTTAAAAAAATTAAAAAAGTTCAATAATAACGATTATGACAATTGTCACTTCCCTGTAGTATATCTTCACTGAAATTTTAATTTAACATGTTAACAATATCTATTTTTCCCAAATGCTTTAAAAAAATTCAAAAAAGTTCAAAAATAACAATTATGACAATTGTCAATTTCCTGTAGTACATCTTCACTGAAATTTTAATTTAACATGTTAACAATATCTTCTTTTACCCATTTGCTTTAAAAAATTTAAAAAGGTTCAAAAATAACGATTATGACAATTGTCACTTTCCTGTAGTACATCTTCACTGAAATTTTAATTTAACATGTTAACAATATCTATTTTTACCTATTTGCTTTAAAAAAATTCAAAAAAGTTCAAAAATACCGATTATGACAATTGTCACTTTCCTGTAGTACATCTTCACTGAAATTTTAATTTAACATATTAATAATATCTATTTTTACTCATTTGCTTTAAAAAAATTCAAAAAAGTTCAAAAATAACGATTATGACAATTGTCACTTCCCTGTAGTATATCTTCACTGAAATTTTAATTTAACATGTTAACAATATCTATTTTTACCCAAATGCTTTAAAATAATTCAAAAAAGTTCATAAATAACGATTATGACAATTGTCACTTTCCTGTAGTTCATCTTCACTGAAATTTTAATTTAACATGTTAACAATATCTTCTTTTACCCATTTGCTTTAAAAAAAATTAAAAGGTTCAAAAATAACGATTATGACAATTGTCACTTTCCTGTAGTACATCTTCACTGAAATTTTAATTTAACATGTTAACAATATCTATTTTTACCTATTTGCTTTAAAAAAATTCAAAAAATTACAAAAATAACGATTATGACAATTGTCACTTTCCTGTAGTACATCTTCACTGAAATTTTAATTTAACATGTTAACAATATCTTCATTTACCCATTTGCTTTAAAAAAATTTAAAAAGGTTCAAAAATAACGATTATGACAATTGTCAATTTCCTGTAGTATATCTTCACTGAAATTTTAATTTAACATGTTAACAATATCTATTTTTACCTATTTGCTTTAAAAAAATTCAAAAAAGTTCAAAAATAACGATTATGACAATTGTCACTTTCCTGTAGTACATCTTCACTGAAATTTTAATTTAACATGTTAACAATATCTTCATTTACCCATTTGCTTTAAAAAATTTTAAAAAGGTTCAAAAATAACGATTATGACAATTGTCACTTTCCTGTAGTACATCTTCGCTGAAATTTTAATTTAACATGTTAACAATATCTATTTTACCCATTTGCTTTAAAAAATTTTTAAAAAGGTTCAAAAATAACGATTATGACAATTGTCACCCTGTAGTACATCTTCACTGAAATTTTAATTTAAAACATATTAACAATATCTATTTTTACCCATTTGCTTTAAAAAAAATTAAAAAAGTTCAATAATAACGATTATGACAATTGTCACTTCCCTGTAGTATATCTTCACTGAAATTTTAATTTAACATGTTAACAATATCTATTTTTCCCAAATGCTTTAAAAAAATTCAAAAAAGTTCAAAAATAACAATTATGACAATTGTCACTTTCCTGTAGTACATCTTCACTGAAATTTTAATTTAACATTTTAACAATATCTTCTTTTACCCATTTGCTTAAAAAAAATTTAAAAAGGTTCAAAAATAACGATTATGACAATTGTCACTTTCCTGTAGTACATCTTCACTGAAATTTTAATTTAACATATTAATAATATCTATTTTTACTCATTAGCTTTAAAAATATTCAAAAATGTTCAAAAATAACGATTATGACAATTGTCACTTTCCTTTGGTTCATCTTCACTGAAATTTTAATTTAACATGTTAACAATATCTATGCTTTAAAAAAATTTTCAAAAATAACGATTATAACAATTGTCATTTTTCTATGGTACATCTTATTGAAATTTTATTTTTACATTTTAATATTAATAATTATAACCTATTTAATTTACGATATAATAAATCAAATAAGTTTAAAATAACGATTATTACAATTTCCACTTTTTTATGTTACTTACATTACATCTTCATTGAAATTATAATATAAACTTTTTTTTATATAAATTTTTTTTTACCCATATATGTCGAAAAAAGTTTAAAAAAATAACGATTAGGAAAATTGTCGATACATCTTTATTAAATTTTTATTTTAATTTAACATGCTTTGCTTACTAATCCATTTACTTCAAAAAATAATATCAAAAAAATAAAACATTATAAAATATAAAAATCTTTGAATATCGTTGATCTAAAATATTTTTAAATAAAAGATCTTCAAAAGATCTCGATCTTTGAAGATCGTTGCTCAAAATTTTTTAAAAGTAAAAGGTCTTCAAATTTTACGATCTTCAAAGATCTTGCTCAAATAATCTTCAAAGAAGATCTTTTGTACAACTCTGCTTTTGGCAGAATGTCAATTCTTTGATTTTTCAAAAATCTAATACATTCGCATTCAACAATGCTAATTGAAATTATTTTCTAAGCAACTTATGCAATAAAATAAATGGATCAAAAGATCCCCCTAACCTCAAACTCCAGCTCTGGCTCCTGAGTTTGAAAAAATAGCGAGTGTTTTTATGTAGAGGCAGCGTCTACATGAGCGGGAGAGGTAGGAACAGTTTGCATCCTATTTTTTTGAGGGGGTAGGAGGTAAGCTGTTTATTGGGGGTAGGATAAATTTTTTGGGGGGTTATCTATTAAATTTTGTGATGAAATAGGACAAAATTTATTGCTGTAAAAATTATACTTTTATTATAGTATTATTATAATACAATTCATCGACCAAATCTATATATTGCAAACAATCATACACATTGTTTTCCAAATAAACAATCCTTTTAAATGTAATTTAAAAGGTTTAGATATTTTAGCAAGCTCATAATGCCATAATAACTAATTCATTGTAAATAATGGAGGTTTTAATTGAATTGATTATCTAAAAAATAATTTATTTATAATCACAAAATATAGATAGTTGGTAGTAGATATAGATTAATTTAAGTTATCCTTTATAAATTCTTTGAAAAGAGTATCAATAAATAAATAGGTAAAAATAATGATAAAGAGACACCGCCGCAGAAGGTGGCGATTTTTAAGGGGGGTAGGCAAAGATTTTTTAAGGGGGTTTGCATCCAGTCAAAATCCTGTCATGTAGATGCTGTGTAGAGACCTAGACGCCCTCCCCGAGTTGCGCTTTAGCGGCTGCTTTTCAGTTATAATATTTTTTTACTATTTTGCTTTTAGCAAAAATATTAAATCATAATTTAAAAATCCATATTAATATGTAAGTGTATATTACAAAATAAATTGATCTTTTTAATATGTTCTGGACGTTGTTTAGCAATGGCTATTTACCCACCAACATCATATATCATTATTCCTTTTTAAACATACAGATGTCTGGATCTGCTTTAAGGAGATTGATGGCCGAATATAAGCGTATAAATAAAATTGTGATAATATAAAGATTGATATTCATAATAGAATTAACTATAAACCCTCCAGAAGGGATTATTGCAGGCCCTGTTACAGAAGATGATTTTTTTGAATGGGAAGCACTTATAATGTAATTTAATCTATATATTAAGATCAATTTTTTTTATTAGTGGACCACAGGGAACACCTTTTGAAGGTGGAGTTTTTCCAACCAAACTATTTTTTCCAACTGACTATCCACTAAGTCCCCCTAAAATGATTTTCACATGTGATATGTTCCACCCAAACAGTTATATCACATGATGTGATTCTAAATAATTTTTATTATAGTTTATAAAGATGGTAAAGTGTGCATATCAATATTACATACACCTGGAGATGATCCTATGGGGTATGAATCTAGTTCTGAAAGATGGAGCCCAGTTCAGAGCATAGAAAAAATTCTTCTATCTGTTATTAGTATGTTGGCTGGTAAATATAATTTTCATTTTATTACAGAGGTTTACACTTTAATTTATTGTATAATTGTCAAAGCAATTAATTTTTATTTATATTATTTTGTAATATAATATAGGCTTAGACCAAAATAAAATGAAAAAAACACAATACACCAATAAAAAAAAGTCATGCAGAGAACTAACGACAAAAATATAAAACAAGCAATTTTAAAAATCAGGAAATTGTTTTGAATTATAATTAAAATTTTAAATATATTTTTTAAGTAAAATAATTAAAAAATGGGAAAAAATATATTAAGGAGAAATAATAATATATAAAAAAAATACCTAAAACTCATTATAGTTAATTCCAAGTGGACATGTAAAACTATACCTGGTTTAATAATATTAATTATAACAGACTGATGATTCATTTAATACATTACATAAATTGAAGTCAACTTACCTCCATATGTTGAATAATTCATGGACATTTCACATGCCGTTAAACATTGAATGGTACCTGAAAATTTTGTTGTCACATAAATATCACAATGTCACTTTAGCCAAATCCCATCACCAATTTACTTTAATTTTGGATTTTAAATCTTTTCCCTCATCATAATTAAGAGGTAGTCATATTTGTTCATATCGATGAACTATCTGTATCCTTGGTATCCTGATCTTTAATTCAGGCATCTACTTCTTTAGGGTATCTACTTAATATATTTTGATGACCACATTTAGGTCTTTATACTTGGTAACCTAATCTTTAATATGGACACCAACTACTCGATAAGGTATCTTATTATTATATTTCAATGAACCATCTATAGTCTAATCTTTGTACTTAGTAACCCAATCTTAATTATAGGCACCTATTCTTGGGGTACTATGGTTGTTAGCCCATATCTTTATATTTTTCATAACATTTATCATAATGCTAAGTCCAATATCTCCTTATTTTTTTACATTACAACCAAACAAATATCAATAACCAGGTTTTCATAAGTATAAATTTATTACATATATCTTTTATCGTCACCATCAATAGATTATCATATATCTCTAAATCTCCATGGTGTTTTTCCCATTGTTTTACTATATTCAATTCATTATAGGGTCATTCCATGACAAATCAACCACAATTCGGCTGACCCCCTTCGAATTTTTTAATATTTGGTTAGCAAAGAAAGGTTAGTGTAGTTTAGAAATAGCCAAAATTTTAGCCTCGTAACATTTATACTTTTGGAGATATTAATTAGGGTTCAAATACGGAAAAATGACGTATTTTTACCATTATCTGTCTTCATTTAATTAAGCATATCTTAAAAACTACATAATTGTTAATAATAAATTTAATATCAAAATTACGTACAAAGATTCTACTTTCAGATAAAAAGGTATTTTTTATTCTTTTTCCAATTTCCGGTTATTTTATTTAATATGCAAGGACTAAAAACTATTTTTTGGAAATAATACGACCTTCAATTTTAAAAAAAATTTATTAGACATTACTAAACTCTTCCTTTACATTTATAAAAAAAAATTGGTCTGGGACGCGGCCCTCTTCATTATATTTAGAAAAGTGTATAAATATTTTCCCGAAATTAGGCGTCTTTGTATAAAATTATATATTAATCAGTTTTTAATAGTTTTTCTTTAACTATTTGATATAATTTAAAGGATTATTCATCTTGTAAGTGAAAATAACAAATGGTGCTTTCATTCAATTATGGAAATTGTGTATCGATAAAAGAAATTCAATTTATTACTTTAAAATTTATTATAAAATTTTTTGCCTATATAACATATATTTATATTTAATGAATATTAATAAAATATATTCAACCAAGTTTAAAGTTCTTGAATATATGAATCAGAATCTTGTGCATTTCATATATGGCCCCCTAAATATTAAAAATAATTGATATAATATAAATTTTAAAATCTAATATATATCTCACTTTTAAAAGATTCTAATTTTTCAGTAGTGCATTTACTTTCTTATGATGACAATGTATAACTATGGCCAGTAGCAGTTAACGATGAAACTAATGTTAAGATATGACATTTTGGAAAGTAAAGAGTGTCATCTAGTGATCTGCATCGGGCCTAATTTTTCAAGCCTGGCCCGGCTAGAAATTTTTTTTAAAAAGTTTTGCCGGCCCGAATTCTAATCCAACCCGAATTTATTTAAATATAGAAATTAATTTTTAGAATTACTCAAAATAAAAGACATATGTTATATTGTGAGTTTCAATAAATAAAATCAATTTTTATTTTACATAAAAAATTCAATATAAAATTGATAAATTTAAATATATTTAAAAAAATTTCCAAGGTCCGACCCGACCAGGCTTGAATTTTTTTAAAAATATTAGGCCCGGCCCGAACCCGATTATTTTAAATAAAATTAGGCCCGAAGCTCGTTGGAGCCGGGCCCAACTTTGCAGATCTCTAGTGTCATCTATACTTGGAAATGTAAAGGAATTAGAAGGTTTGGATGGGTATAAAAACCTTATATATATATTTCTTACTGCTTTTGATTTTTCCCTAAAACAAAGGCTAACCACCAAATCATAAACAAGTGTTTGAAAATCTTTCTCTGAGTAATAGTTCTTCGGAATCATAATTTTTTTGGGTCATATATTCAAAATATATGCCATAAATATTTTCTTTAGCAAACTTGTACAATTCATATGATGTGATTATTTGCTTTGAGTAAGGCCTTTGTAAACTAGTTATAGAGGCTAATCTTTTAACAGTGCCACCAATCCCATTACAAACACTTTTCCCGTGTGCTGTAGCAGAAAAATGTCATTCCACCCCTACCCCTAAATCCATCTCATCATGGTAAATATGTAAATTTTTTACGATTTTTATACTGTGCAGCGGATCCATCGAAAAAATAAAAATTTTTATTTGACAGAAATTTTATTAATTTAAAAATTTACCAATGTTTTTTGGAAATAATGTACCGCTATTGTATAGTGTTGGAATGATTCGGATATCATTACATAATTTAGGTAATAAATATTGGCAAAGTTATCTTTATAATATATAACAAAAGGGTGGATGAACAGTGGATTGAGCCCTATTCCAATGATAACTTTGTACTTCATCCTGAAGTATAAAGCTATAGTTTTCTAAAAACCACATAAAATTAAATATTGGCCTTCGTATAAGTTCAATTTTAGATTGTTTTAATACAACGATTGCTGCTTTGAAATAAAAGAATGGGGTAATAAAGATTCGATTTTTTCCAAAAAGGCATTGATAAATTCATCTACTGGTTTGGTTATTGTTTCAAGAGTGGTTCTATCTACGGATAGCCATTATTTGTATGTTATAAATTTGATGTCCATAGAACAAGATATTTCTATTTGATCTCGTAAATGTGTTGACCCTGGTCAATTATCACATTTGCCCATATAAATTTATTTAATTGATTGAAACACTCATTTATTGTTATTCTTATTTACAAGTAAGGGTATGCCGATTTAGAAAATCCGATATAATATTTATATTGTTTTGGATTTTTTATGATGATAATACTTTTATTTTGTATATAATAATTTCATTATAATAATAAATTCATATTTGTAATATTTTAAAAATATCAAATTATTTAAAAAAATTGAGTATCGAAAATTTTGATATTATTTTTGGCGTCATATATGAAATGCACAAGATTTCATATATTTAAGAACTCGAAACTTGGTTGGACATATTTTATTAATATTCATTATTAGCAAAAAATTTTATAATAAATTATAAATATAATAAATTGAATTTCTTTTATCGATAAACAATTTCTATAATTGAATGAAAGCCCTATTTATTGTTATTATCATTTACAAGATGAATAATCCTTTAAATTATATCAAATAGTTTACGAAAATCCATTAAAAACTGATTAATATATAATTTTATACAAAGACGCCCCCTTTCGGGAAAATATTTATACACTTTTCTAAACATTTTTATCGATTTTGAGAATGAAGATGGCCACGTTCCACACCAATTTTTTTTTATAAATATAAAGGAAGAGTTTAGTAATATCTACTAAATTTTTTAAAAATATTGAGGTCGTATTATTTACAAAAAATCGTTTTTAGTCCTTGCATATTAAATAAAATGACCGGAAATTGGATAAAATATAAAAAATATACTTTTATCTGAAAGTATAATCTTTGTACGTAATTTTGATATTAATATTGTTATTTACAAATATGTAGTTTTTAAGATATGCTTAATTGAATGAAGGCAGATAATGGTAAAAATACGTCATTTTGCCACTTTGAACCCAATATAAATGTTACGAGGCTAAAATTTTGGCTATTTCTTAACTACATTAACCTTGATTACCAAATTTTAAAAAAATCAAAGGGTACGGCCGAAAATTTCATTTTTTTGCTCATTTGACATGGAATGACCCTATAATAAGATTTCGTATCATTACCACACACTCAGTTACAAAATGATATTCATCAGCAAATCTTTTTCATATTTAATAATTATCATGTCTCATTTGTTATTTAGATCACCATTCTATTTTAATCATAGACTTATATTAATATAGACTGCTCAACGATAAAAAAAATGTCTTTAAAATAATTAACATCTTGAAAATAGCAACCTTTATTTTCACTTTTTATATAATTTTATTATAAAATAAAGTCAAATACGTGATTGATTTAATATAAGAAAATAAGCAATAAAGTTTACTATAATGCCAGGTTTTACAATGGTGTCCCGGTGTATCATCTTGTTGAGGTTTGAATATAAATTAGAGGTCTGCATTGGGTGGATTTTTGAACCATAAGCCCACCCACCCAATATTTTGGCTGCATTCAATGTGGAGACGGATCCGTTTTTTACATCCGTTCCATCAAAAGTCAATCTCATTAAAAATGATATATATTGATTTTCATTTTTAAAAAATTATACGTAACGTTATAACGCTCTATAAAATTTGCCAGATCAAAAAGTCAAAATGTTTTGATCTCAAAATTTGCAGGATCCGTTTTT